GGGGGAGCCAAGGAAGGACTGTAGAAAGACCTCGATGGCTAGAGAGTAGAGAGCAGATGGAAGGGAGATAACATTCTTGCTCAGGAAACTGATTAGCTGTGATTGCAGCCAGTCAGAGAGGAGCTGTGGTTGCCCCCTGAACTCAGGTCATTGCAGTACAGGTAGAGAGAAGAGACGCACACAATATTTAGAGGTCAAGTTATCTGTTCCAGATGGTTGGAGGGATATGGGAAGTGAAGGAGAGAGAGGAGTGAGAGATAACTCCGTGTCTGGCTTGGGAAGTGGTGGACGGTGGTGCCATTCCCAGAGGTGGGGGAGGTTGGGAGGATGATGAGCTTAATTTCTGAAATCTTGCTTTATTTTTCCCCACCTGACTTTCTGGTCAGTCAGAACTGACTCTGGGGACAAATACCTGTTTACCTCTCTAGCTTCAAAGGATTCACCTGAATTAACAAGACAGGTTTAGTCTTGTTCCTGAGAAGTTTCTGGCATGCCTGAAGGGTTCCTTACCAGCCCTTTCCTGGAACACAAGAGAATGGATTGTCAGTTATCCTCTGCTTCTGATTTCTTATAACTAAAGTACTTCTTCCGTTTTTTGGTACCTACACATAAATAAGAAGAACACATAATAATAGTTAAGGTTTTTTTTTCCTAGTGATTTGCTTATTACTTAACCTGAGAGTCCTTTTAATTTAAGTTTGTACTTCTGCTTCAAGAGATCTTCTTTGTAGATAATATCTAATTGTGGTTAGAAAATAATTGGAAGAATGTTTGGGGGCTTACTGATTTTCCCTCCTAAATATCTGAAATGTAGAATGGGAAGGGAGAGACCTCTCACAACCTATTCATATCGCTGCCTTGCATTGTTTCCTGGAGAACCATGTCTCTCACTGGACGCATCTTATTTAAGGTCACACAGGGACTCATGGTCTTACATGTGTAGTAACTTTGCTGCCGGTCATGTGAAACAGGCTGGAAATGAACAAAAGTAAAACTTGAGGATCCAGATATTGAAGTGGATTTCTATACACTTCCAAAAAAGACTTGACTTTAGATACTAGTCAAAATTCATAATGACTCACTTTCAGTGGATAAGGATGTCTCTAAAGACGTTGTTATCTAAAGAGGTGTTGCATCTTTATCCATTGGGGAAGGAGCAAAGACGAGGATGATTGTTCTTAAAGTTTCTCTGTTAGCAGGCTGTCTTCCCTAAAGACACATTCTAAATGCAGACTTCCTAAATCATCATCCTTTTCTCTAGAAAGAGAGCAGAAACCAAAAGTAGGCTTAATGTAAGCCAAGTAGAATTCTGAGGATTGTGAACTCTGTGAGAGCAGAGACTATAAGCATAACCTCAACATCTAGTTCAATGTCTTATATTATATAGATGCTTAATAAGTACTGGTTCAGTTTATTTCAGTGACTGAGTAAATGAAAGATTCTAGGTTTTCTGGTAGTAGGAAAAAAATCTCCATAGATACAGAAAAGTGCACAAATCATAAATTTGGTGAATTTTCACCAAGTAAACATGCCCATGAACCTAGGACCAAGATGAAGAAATAGAATAGGACTGTCCCCCAGAAGTGTGGCAGTCATAGTCACTAGTCCTCCAGGAGTAACTACTCTCTGACTTCCAATGCCATGCTTCTATTGTGCCCAGTTTTGAACTTTAGATAAATATGTAGTCTCCCAGGCCTTTCACTCCTTTTTACATCAGTGAGATTTAACATGGTGTTGGGAGCAGCAATAGTTCATTTATCCTTATTGCACCAAACCCATTGTATGATAATACCACAGTTTATCTACTCTCCTATTGATTGTTTCTTGGGGTGGTTCCAGTTTGGGGCCCTTACAGGTGGTGCTGCTGTGAACATTTTTGTGCCTGTCTTTTGGTAAGCAAACGTACACATTTCTCTTAGGTACATACTTGAGTAGAATACAGCATCCTAGTGTATGTGAATGTTCTGCTTTGGTAATACTATCAAACAGTTGTCCACATTCTACTCCCACTAGCTGAGCTCTTGGTGCAGCTCCTCCTCACCTAATACTCTGTGTCTTTTTCATTATAGGCACTCCAATAAGTGAGTAGTGGCATCATATTAGAGTTTTAATTTCCATTTTCCCGATGACTCATGAAGCTGGGCACTTATTCATGTTTATTTGGATATCCTTTTTTGTGAAGTGCCTATTCTAGTGTTTTGGTTGTTTTTCTCTTGAATTGTCTGCCTTTTCTTACTGAATTCCTTATTTGGTCTGGATACAGGTCCTTTGATACATGGAATGCAAAAGTCTCCCACTTGGGGGGCTGTCATTTCACTTTCTTGATGGTGTCTTTTGATTAAAAGGCATTCTCAGTTTTATTCAATACAGTTTGTCAGTTTTGTCCTTTATGGGTAGCATTTTGTGCCACGTATAGGAAAGATTGCCCACTACAACTTCATGGAGTTTTAGTTTTCCACCTGTGTTGCAATTAGACTATTAAGGCAGAAAGGATCCTTCATTTCAGTCTATTGGCTCTTAACTTTCTGCAAATCCTGACTCCCTGTGAAAACCCAACAAAAACTGTACCCTTGGCACAGAAGTGCATGCATGCACACACACAGCAAACTTTCCTGGTTTCCTCCTAACTTGCCTGCAGACCAACGTTGAAACCTGCCCACAGCCCCTTGTCAGGGAACCCTGAACTAGTCCAACCAGTCTCTTTGCAGATGTGACACACCCTCTGACTAGAGAGGGTGTGTCACAGTATAAGTTTATGGCCCAGTTGGGACTAGAATTCAGGTCTCTTGACTCCTATTCGAGTGCTCTTTCTAACACAATTCCCTGCTACAGTCTTTTTAAGAATCTCAGGCAGAGCCGTCAAAGGGAGAGACTTTTTTTTTTTTTAAGATTTTATTTATTTGAGAGCGAAAATGAAAGAGAAAGAGAGAGAGCATAAGCCAGGGCAGAGGGAGAGGGTGAAGCAGACACCCTGCTGAGGAGGGAGCCTGATGTGGGGCTCAATCCCAGGACATCATGACTGGAGCTGAAGGCACACACTTAACTGACTGAGCCACCCAGGTGCCCCAATGAAGGGAAGTTTCTATGCCGTAGCAACAAAATATGGCTACATGGTGACACTCAGATACTTTAGATATCTACCTTAAATGTTAAAGTCCAGCATGTCTGTATGTAAGGTTTATGAAGTTGAGCTGGGACTTATCATGGCCAGTGCACCTTCCTCTAGCTGTGACTTAGTGCCCTGGGGTTGCTGTGTTGAACCTTACTGTAATGTACCTACCTGTGTTCTTCTTAGTGTCTTGATTGGTTCTGGCTGGAATATTAAAAAGCACCTTACGTAAGAAGTTTCCAGTCTCCACGCTCAAGTGGGTGAGGTTCGCCAAAGTAGTTGCTCCAGGGAGAAAATTAAAAGAGGTGGAGGCAGGAAAAGGAGCTCTGAGTTTCTTGACTAGGCTCAGTCCATTTGCAAACAGTAGGCAAGCTGGGCCAGAGTTTCTGGAAGTATTTGCTAACAGTTTTCCTGGTCTACAGCCTTTTTACCTGCCACTGCCTCTTCAAAGATTCTAAGTGGACTGGGCAGCTTACAGGTAACAGGCCCCCGGTATTTTCAAGAAACCACTCAAACCCCAGTGCTAGGAGTCTCCAAATTCAGTCCTGTTACCTCATCCACAATGCCTACCTGTGCTTAAAGTGCACTGCCAGAGGTGTGCATTTCAGACTGGTAGCACAGACCACAATTCCTATCTCTTGGGGAAAAAGACCGTTTGGATCTTTGGGCCACACCCTGAAACACAGACTAAGTGATCTCATCCTCAGCACAAAGGAAGTCGAGCCCATAATACCATCTGCAAATAGGCTCAGATTAGACCTGACAGACAGATAGCATCCCCATATTCTACCCCATTTTACTTCTGTCCCATTAGCCCCCAGAGAGCCTCTTGTCCAGTTTCATCAGCTACTTGTGATTAACAAGGTGAGGGGTGCTAGAAGTTCAGATATCTCAATGAGGTACATCTGTTCCATCATTTCAAAAGCATTTACTGAGTCCCTACTATGTGTTAGGTACTGTACTAGGTGATCGGGATACAGAGATGAGTGGGACGGGCTCCCTGTCCTTGAGGAGCTCCCAGTCTAGGTGGAGGGACAGGTCAGTAAGCTGATGAGCACCACGCAGTGTGGTAAGTGCTGTATGAGAGGTCAGCACAGGTGCTGTTCTGGGACCAGGAGGAGCTGCGTCTGAGTTGGCCTGGGTTGTCCAGGGAGACATTTCCATAGAAGGAATCTGAAAGGGGTTGAGGAGTGTATAGGTGGAAAGTGATGGAATGACACTTGTTCTGGGCAGACTGGTGGCACACGCAGCTACACAGCAGCAGAGTGCTGGGTTGGGGTGGTCAGAATGCCGGCATAGAAAGGAAGCTGAGGACATCCAGTTACATACAGAGTTTTGTCTTTGTTTTCCTTTCTCCTCTGAAAGAGCTACTCAAGTCAAAAGTTGATGATAGACCTGTGAGTCAAAAGATTCACTTACTCCAGGGGCACCTGCGTGGCTCAGTGGGTTAAGCCTTAGCCTTCAGCTCGAATCATGGTCTTGGGGTCCTGGGATCAAGCCCCGCATTGGACTCTCTGCTCAGTGGGGATCCTGCTTCCCCCTCTCTCTCTGCCTGCCTCTCTGCCTACTTGTGATCTTTATCCCTCTGTGTCAAATAAAAAAATAAAATCTTAAAAAAAAAAAAGATTCACTTACTCCATTAACTCAGGTTAACTTTGGCATCCACTGTTGGAGAATCAGAATCAGCTTCAGAATCAGAATCTCTTCCCCTCATGTTGATCTTGGTGATCTTTTACCATCTTCAGCTCCCAGGATCTCCCGGGCTCCCCAGTCAGCCCATTACTGCTCCACTCCAAAGTCAGGTCTCTGGTTAGAATATCATGGAAGCTCCAGCTGCGTATGTAGTCAGCAAGCACCAATTTTTTTACCATCTCTTCTTTTTGTCTTTTAGGTGTGAAGAAAACAGTGGTTTATAGTTCACTAAAGCTACACAAAATGTGGAAAGGATGGCTAAGGAAAACATCCTGATTTTGCTTGCTTCTATATGTGTTACATATAGATTAATAAAGTGATCCTTTTTCACAGCTCAGTATTTGTTACTTTGACGCACTGCTTGAATTTGAAGATACCTAGGTTTGTATAATATTTGAATTTGAAATGTATGTGTTAGACATTTATCCAGGGGACCCAAATACCTTTGAGCACAAGCAAATGAATAGTTTCACAGGCCTGGGTGGGAATCTGTGAAAGTACTTTTCGCTAGCAAAGGATTGAATAAAACAGGGAAAATGACCTAATGTTCATTCAAGGCCTACACACCAGGTGTGATACATGAACTGCTTCTTTTGATCCTTACCCTACTTCTACAACATAGATATGAGCCCTGCTTTTTTATAGCCAAGGAAACTGAAGGTAAAGAAGTTAACCAACAGGGATGCCTGTGTGGCTCAGTGGGTTAAAGCCTCTGCCTTCAGCTCAGGTCATAATCTCAGGGTCCTGGTAATCGAGCCCCACATCAGGCTCTCTCCTCAGCGGGGAGCTTGCTTCCCCCCTCTCTCTCACTGCCTGCCTCTCTGCCTACTTGTGATCTCTGTCAAATAAATAAATTTTGAAAATCTAAAAAAAAAAATTAAAAAAGAAGTTAACCACAGACCCACTGGCCCCCAGCCCTCAAACTAGTACATGGCTAAGCTGGGACTTGAATTCAAAACTGTTTTACTCAAAAGACCAGTATCACATCCCACTTCAGGCCTCACCTGCAAGATATGAATAATTCTTTCCTGGTTTATTCAGATGATTTCTATGATTATTTTCAGTTATTACTGACCATGGAGCTAAAGACATGGAGCTATGGTTTCTTCTGTACCATTTCTATTCTGTGTCTTGAGATCAAGTGGAAGAGTAGAAAATTCCTTCCTAGAATGAGCTACTTCTGGGGAGATGATGCATGATACGTCAGAATTTATGGCAAACTTAGAGACCATTTATACTTCTTCACTTTACAGGTGGGATAAATAAGGCCCAGAAAGGCGTGACTTCCAAAGTCACATATACTTGTCGACAGCCTAGACTAAAACTTGCATCCCTACATCCTACTTAATCCCCCTTTCACTTCAGCCTGTTGTTCTACCCACCCAGCATGTAAGTAAATTATAACAAGGCCTTGGATTTCAGTAGCTTTTATAAGATCAGGAAAAATAAAATCCCTCAGCTCAGTATTATTTTCAGAAATCACAGGACCCCTCACCTAAATGTAACTCCAAACTCTAACTTGAATTTAACTGCCCTCAACCCCTTCTTGTATAACTAACCTACTCTAACAAATGGACAGGAGATAGAGGAATGTCTTTCCCTGGAATTTCAGGTTACAATGGGTTATGTAGAAATAGATCAGAGGTTATGGCAAGTGGAAAAACCAGGAGAAGGCTAAAGGCTCTCAGGGAGGGGAATTTAATTCAACTGGTTAATTCAGTGTTGCTAAGCAACATTAGGTTGGAGGGAGATGGGATTGGCCAAGATCACCATACTTGTGATCCTGCCCTCAGTAAGCTTGTAGTACATCAAGTGGGGAAGACAGAATTTATCCTCATAATAGAAGATGAGAAGTGGTCGTTCATGAAGACAAGTTCATTCATTCATTCAGTCATTTAACAAATATTTAATATTTGATATATTTAATATTTAATATTTGACACAGTGTGTGTGTCAGGAACTGAAGCTTAATGAATAAGATGTTGTCCCAAATCTAAGGATCTTAAAATGCAGTAAAGTAATCAGGTAAGTAAATTGGGAATTATATTTATCTGATAAGTGCTTAATTATAGAGGTAACTATAGGGTGCTATGGAGATGCCTAAAAGTAATGGCAAATACTGGTTGAGCCCTGACAGTGTCAGGCACTATTCTAAGCACTTTCTTTTTTTTTTTTTTTTTTTTTTTTTTTAAAGATTTTATTTATTTATTTGAAACAGAGAGAGAGAGAGATCACAAGTATGCAGAGAGGCAGGCATAGAGAGAGAGAGGAGAAAGCAGGCTCCCCGCTGAGCAGAGAGCCCGATGCGGGCCTCGATCCCAGGACCCTGAGATCATGACCTGAGCCGAAGGCAGAGGCCTTAACCCACTGAGCCACCCAGGCGCCCTCTAAGCACTTTCTATAGATTTATTCATTTAATCCCCACTACAGCCTTATATAATAGGCTCTCTATATTATATATATTAGATTATCTATATTATATAATAGGGACTCTTATTATTCCCTAACTTATGCCAGGGGAAACACAGGCACAGAAGAGTGAGGCCTGGCATACCGTTTCAAAGCTGGTAGATGACAGCCAGGATTCCAAACTGGGCCATCAGTTCGCAGAGCCCTCCCTCTTAACCTCTGAGCTAGAATATCTTTCAGTCACTTGTGTTTGCACAGTTTGAAGAGAAGGAGCAAACGATGCCCAGCCATTACTTTAAGAACAAGTAGGAGTTACCCCGAGGAGAAGGAAAAGTATCCAGACACAGAGAAGTGCTTGTTCAAAAGCCCCGAATGAAGAGATCACAGTGTGTTTAGGGAACTAAATTTAGCTCAAGATGAATAAAATGCCAGGCAGATGCTGTACAGAAGTGAGGACGGAGAAATGACAGAGGCCAGATCATAAAAGGTCTTATGAAAGCCTGTCAGTGTATTAATCATTATCTCCAGAGCAGTGGAAAGCCAGTGAGAGATTTGGGGGCTGGAGAGTGGCAAAACTGGATTTACATTTTATAAAAATCATTATGGTTGCAACATGAAGAATGGATTAGAAGAGGCAAGACTAGGGGGTACCTGGGTGGGTGAGCCGGTTAAGCTTCTGACTCTTGATTTTGGCTTGGGTCATGATCCTCAGGGTTGTGGGATTGAGCCCTGCCTCAGGCTCTGCGCTTAATGGCTGGTCTGTTAGAGATTCTCTCTCTCCTCTCCCCCGTGCTTGCACTCTAAATAAATACATAAAATACTAAAGAAAAAGTGCCCAGATTCTGGCTGAGGCAACTGGAACAGCGGTGTGCTATTTCCCAAGCTGGGGATTCAGGAGGAGGCACAGATTTGGGGTGGTATCATAATCTCAGGCCTGGGCATGCTGAATTTGGGGTGTCTGTGGATGTTCAGTAGACTTCGGCTACACAGGTCAGAAGCTGACAGTGTAACTGTGAGAGTTGGCATGTAGTAGATGAGGGAGTGGGTGAGATTTCCCCAGGAAGTCTGTAGAGTATGAAGACAGGAGAGCCAAGCTCACAACCCTGGGAAATGCCAACATGAAAGGAGCAGGCAGAGAAAGCTAAGGAATAAGGAGAGATCAGAAGAAAACCAGGAGAACAAGATGTCAAGTCATACAGGAGATGGTGAGGAAGAATTAAATTGTATTACTATTTCCAGTAAGCATCTCTTTTCCCTCCCTGCAGCCCCTACCCTATAGGATGACTAATTTTCCTACCTCCAAGGACCTCAGGGTGGCCTTACGACTTTTCTTGGCCAATGAAGTGAGAATGGGACTGACATGTTACTTCTGAGCAAAAACTTTAAGAGCCAGCCCGAAGTTTATCATGTCTCACTTTCCCTCTGCCACAGGACTGGGAGTGCTCCCCATAGAGGCTGCTCCCTAAGCACAGGTCCTCTTTCATTTGGAAGGGTCAAGAAAGGTTTTGTGCAGTCGGTTGATATCCTGAGTTTTGACAAGGGCAGCAAGGCATTAATTAGAGAAATTATTTTTTCCAACAAATGGTGCTGGGACAATTAAGTAGCCACATCAAAAGAAAGAAATCGAACCTCTACCTCCCACCATATATAAAAATCAACTCAAATGGATCAAAGCGTAAATATAACAAATGAAAGTATAACATTCATAGAAGAGAACATGATTAAATCTTCATAACCTTGGATTAGCCAATGGCTTCTTAGACCAGACACCAAAAGCACAAGCAACAAAAGAAAAAATAGATAAATGGGTCTTCATCAAAATTTAAATCTTGTTGGGTGCCTGGGTGGCTCAGTGGATTAAAGACTCTGCCCTCGGCTGGTTCGTGGTCATGGGATCAAGCCCGGCGTTGGGCTCTCTGCTCAGCGGGGAGCCTGCTTCCTCCTCTTTATGCCTGCCTCTCTGCCCACTTGTGATCTCTGTCAAATAAATAAAATCTTTTAAAAAAAGAAGTTTAAATCTTGTGTTCAAAAGACACCACTAAGAAGTTTAAAAGACTACCCACAGGGGCGCCTGGGTGGCTCAGTGGGTTAAAGCCTCTGCCTTCGGCTCAGGTCATGATCTCAGGGTCCTGGGATCGAGTCCCACATCGGGCTCTCTGCTTGGCAGGGAGCCTGCTTCCTCCTCTCTTTGCCTGCCTCTCTGCCTACTTGTGATCTCTCTCTGTCAAATAAATAAATAAAATCTTAAAAAAAAAAAAAAAAAGACTACCCACAGGGCACCTGGGTGGCTCAGTTGATTAAGCAACTGCCTTCAGCTCAGGTCATGATCCTGGAGTCCCGCATAGGGCTCCCAGCTCCACTGGGAGTCTGCTTCTCCCTCTGACCTCCTCACTCATGCATTCTCTCGCAAGTAAATAAATAAAATCTTTTAAAAATAAATAAATAAAAGACAACCCACAGAAAAATGGGAGAAAATAATTGTGAATCATACATTTAATAAGGCGCTTGTACTTAGAATATATAAAGACATTTGCAATGCAATAAAAACATAATCAACCATATTTTTAAATGGCCAAAAGATCTGGATACATATTCCTCCAAAGAAGATACATGAACAACCAATAAGTACACGAGAAGATGCTTGACATTAGCCATCAGGAAAATGCAAATTTGACCATGAGAAACCACTTTTACACCCACCAGGGTGGCTATCATCAGAAGACAACAAAATATCAGGTAGTGGTGAAGATGTGGAGAAACAGGAACCCTCATACAGGCTGCTTGCGGGAACATCACAGCTGCTGTGGAAAACCGGCTGGTAACTTCTCAAATGGTTAAACACAGACTTATCACATGATCCAGTAATTCCACCGAAAACATGTACTTGCACAAAAACTTGGACAAGAATATTCATAGCACCATGAT